AAGAAAATTTATACCAAAGACATCCAGGATGTTTTAACCCACCAGAATGACTTTTCAAACAAAAATATTTCCTCCCCTTTGAAAAAATTTCTTAAGGATCTCCTGAGCATTCTAACTTTTTTTCTGATTTATCATGATTTTACGGTAGAAAGGTGATGGAGACTTCTGATAACTGAGTAATTCTTCTTTTTTTTTTAGTTTTTTTTTTCAGCAGCAATATCTCGGAAATTTCTCTTGACCATTGATAACGTCCTTGATGAACTCCCTCTGTGCAGGCGGTAAATTCGGTGCCTGCTCGATACAGTCGACAGCATTAACTTCAGCAGGCTCGACACAAAACCCTTTGATCAATTAATATGTCTGGCCATCCAATTAGCCCTTGTGCTGCATCTCCCGGAGCCATAGCTATTGCAAAATTTTCTGATTGTCGTTGGTTTTTTCATGTTCAATTTTGTGCACTTCGTTATTAGATCTAGCCTTTATCAGTGTGCCCTTTCAAAGGGACGGTAATGTTTGTGGATTCGTTTTGTTCATTTCGAATGAAGTAATTAACATTAACATTGGCGCAATTAAATACACAGATGGGCGTTCACGGAATTGATGGTTTAGTTGATGTGAGGAATTTTCCCTGATAATTATTCAGACTCGGTTGAATATTGACGGAGCTCGTCATTCAGATGATGGGGTTATTGTTATTGCAGTTCATGAATATTTATTCGAGCTGATTCTCGGTAATGATTATGATGATGCAGGATTTTAAATAACTTCAATGTCCTAGTTAATTTCATTGTTCACGTTTCTCTCATCCTCCTCTTTTTCAAATAAAACAACATCACGAAATTCGCGGAATACATTGTTGAAGCTTTCGCTTGGATATTCCCCGTCAAATCCTACGAATTTTCATCGTGCTGCGAATAAACAAAAATAAACAAACTGTAAAAGTTTATTTATTTTATAAATTGCTGTACAAAATCGGCACGCGAATTTTTTCTAAAAATTTACTTGTTAATAATAAATTAATAAATTGAAAACTGATAAAAGTGAATTAATATTAAAATAAAATTCGGGATATGTTCATTGCTCGTCACCAGGAGCAAGTGTAATTGAATCATGAAACGTTCATTTCGCACGGCGATTTCTCATTTCGTATGCGCGGAGGGAGAAACTGCTCTAGAATTCAATTATTTTGGTTTCCTGGGGTATTACTGGAGTTTTCGGTGGATTTAATAAGCTTGACGGTAGTAATTGGTGGGCAAAGTTGAAGTTTCAAATACCTGATGAAATTTCATATTTTTTATGTACTCTCCAAAATAATTCGTTTCAATCAAATGAATAAATTAATATATATAGTAAATTTTTTTCTATTTCAACTGGCATTTATAATAAATACAAGTTTTTTCTTTTTTTTATGAACATTTATTTATTAACAAGTAAAAAAATTTTTCATTTTTAACAGTGATATTCTTGAGATAAATAACAATATTCGGGTAAAAGGTTATGATACAAATTAATGAATCTTTTAGGTGTGGTAATGGATGGGGGTATTCTCAATCAGCCAAAGTAGTCAGACCTCGTAATTTCCCATATTCAAGGAGAGTGTAATTACATAGAGCAATCCAAGTATTGTAACTTGGGTGAACTTCCTGCGAGGTATATCGAACTTAGTACTTCGATAACTCGAGGGACGAGGGCATTTGGAAAGTCTCGGGAGTTTGATGCTCCTAACCGTCTTGTATTCTGTGTGAAAGTACTTTGAGCATAAAATAGAGTCAAGCTACTTTCAATACGTTGCACACAATATCCTCGTGCATGAATTATTTATTTATTCCTCGGCTTGACAAACGAAACGGTTTGTCATTCCGTGGGTGATTGACCCGTTGTATTTATTAAGGGCTGTCGACCACAATGACTTTCACTTTAGTTGTTTCTCTGGTTTTTCTTGGAAATCGATCCATAATTTGTCACCCCAACCTTTGGACAAATTCTCGATGCTGCAGTCACGCACAGACTGAAGTATAGAACTCTAATTCCTCTAGAACTTTTCCCAGTTTACACTTCAAGCAATCAAAAGTCTACACCGAACAGTTTCACGTTAATTTGTAGAATTACAGTCGCCATTTCAGGTTTGGAAAGAACTATTTCAAGTGGCTTGTTGCTTTGGAAATTACTTGCAATTTGAAAAAC